CCAACAAGGTACTAACGCTGGTTCCCAGGCTGCATGAATTTAAACGAGCTACCAAACTGGCACCTTGGTCCCAATCTTTCACTATCAAAACGGTTAAATATAACTGACTCTTCTACTCAAACAGCTTCTTCTCTCACACTTCCAATCTGTGGAACTCCCTTCCCCTTACTTGCTTCCCTGATAATGATAATCTTCAAGTATTCAATTGTAATGTCAATCGACATCTGACACCCGAGCTCGTTCCTCATCCTTCTCTGTAACCTTTCCTCAAATACACCTCTTTGCTCTTGTTCTCAATCCTCTGTAACCCCTTGCATGCTAGTGGCACTCCTGCCTTGCTTAGGGGGAATTGCTTTAAAATATATATATATATATATATGGTTGGTGTAATGGAGAATGGCCTAAAGTGAGAAATCAGAGAGCCAAGTTCAAATTCTAGTTGACTTTGTTGCATTTACTTATGTGCAAATATTCTTGGGAAAAGTATGAAGCTAACTTTTTTCCTCCAGCTTATAGGTTAAACAGTAGAGCAGACTGGATTCTTTAGCTTTGTTTTGCATCCAATCTAGGAGAAGGACCCTGAACTATCACCAATCAAAATGAATGGATATTCCTTCAGGCAGGCCCTATGCGTTGACTGCCTATTGAGACTTACACTCAACTCAAACCTCAAGTGGAACTTGTACATATGTTCCATCACTAAAGGGGCTGAAAAAAATGGTCAGTTACCCCAGTACCACTCCAGTAAGTATCTGACTCCTCATGCTATCTTATATTTTTACAAGAGCCAGATCAAGCCAAAAATGGAGTACGTCTTCCATATATTGGCAGGAGCTATCCAATCTTCACTTTCCAGTCTCAGTAGAGTCCAAAAGCGTCTCTGCGTCCTTGTGGGTGACAAATTATTATCCACCCAGCAACCCCTCCCCTCAGAGACAAAATATAGCAAGCCTGTCACTGCTCTATCACTACTTCCATGAAAAGCGTTCAAACGAACTATATTCCTTAGTTCAACCTTCAAGGCTAAAGCCTGATATGCCACACACATTATAAAAACCACCCTCACTCCCTTTGTAATCTTTTAGTGAGATTTAGGTTCTACTTGAGAGATTATTCCCATGAACTGCTGCTCTGTGGAACTGACTCCCAAAGGAATGCTTACTCAATCACTACAATCTTAACCTGTTCAAGTCTATGGTTAACCATTATTTTCTCCACATATCTGTATAAATTATGCGTCTTAATCTGTAAACTGCTACACTGAGTTTGTCCTGGGCTTTTTACAGGATAAATATCATTATATATATATATATATATATATATATATATATATATATATATATATATTACGATAAACGTGCAATCAATTTACAAATACATGAATTATTCACACAAAACTAATGCAAAGGTTAATGCTTTAAATGGCGAGACATCCATCATCATAAAACAATTCAAATAGTATACAAAAACCTCCAGATCCGTTATGAATGAATTGATCCTTGTTTATATAAATTTCTGCCATATTAGTTGTTATTTTTACTACAAACTTTTGTCTGTTCCTACAGACATCTTCAGGTATAGAATAGATGTTGTTCTTGGTTTTTTCTCTTAGTAATAAGAGGACAACGAAAATATGTGTTGTTGTATCCGAAAATGCTATTGAAAATGAGTTATTGGTTTTGGAACGCGCCAAAGCAACGCTGAGTTTGATTTTAAATTTTTAAAGTGTTTGCGTTTATACCAAACATGGTGATGAACAAATTTTTTTACTGGTAAATTTTTCTGTCAAAGTGGCATGAACTATATTGTTCAATAATTACAGTAATGTCGCACTTATTATCCAAAAGTCGCACTTGGATCAGTTATTTAAATTACAATAAACGTGCAATCAATTTACAAATACATGAATTATTCACACAAAACTAATGCAACAACACATATATTTTCGTTGTCCTCTTATTACTAAAAGAAAAAACCAAGAACAACATCTATTCTATACCTGAAGATGTCTGTAGGAACAGACGAAAGCTTGTAGTAAAAATAACAACTAATACGGCAGAAATTTATATAAACAAGGATCAATTCATTCATAATGGATCTGGAGGTTTTTGTATACTATTTGAATTGTTTGCGATGATGGATGTCTCGCCATTTAAAGCATTAACCTTTGCATTAGTTTTGTGTGAATAATTCATGTATATATATATATATATATATATATATATATAAAGGGTGTACAAAGATGCTTTTATAAAACTTTGGGGGTTGGTTCCTCACAAAAAAAAAAAAAAAAAAAGGTGAAAAGTCCATATAAACATATGTCTGCAAATCCTTCATTTTTGGGTTGTTTAAAGGAAGTTTGTGATAAATGGTACTGAGTTGCCATGTAGTCTAGGTTACATTTGTCATTCATGTACATTTGTGACTACTCTGTCTTCAATGTTTAATGCGTGTAGTAGGGAGTTACCTGAGAAGTGTTCCATTTAAAAGTCGTGAGCAGGCAAATATAATTTTTACATACAGCCATGCAAATGGTAATTGTCCTGAGGCTGCATGATTGTATCAGATTGCATTTCCAGGCTGAAGGCATCTGAGTCATCCAAACTTTGCTGCTGTTTATCATCGCGTTACTGAAAAAGGATCCATGGCAGCACAAATTATGGATTGAGTAAGACGAAGATCCTTTCATATGCCTAGCCACAAAGAACACATTCTACAGGCTATCAGAGATGATACAGATATCAGCACACATCAAGTGGCCTGAGCTTGACGTACATCTCATAGTACTACATGGGCAGCTCCTATATCCATATCATTTGCACCATGTGCAGGGACTTTCACCCTCTGGTCACTCACCACGGGTGAACTTTTGCCAATGGTTTATCACACAAACGGGCAATTTGTTGTTTGTCTCTTCAGTCATGTTTACAGATGAGGCAACATTTGGAAGAGATGGAATAATAAATTTACACAACCAACATTTGTGGACAGATCGAAATCTCCCTGACACAGTACAGATTAGACACCAGCATCAGTTTACAATTAATGTGTGGCTGGGATTGTAGGCGACTGTCTGGTAGGTCCATATGTTCTCCCAGCATATCTTACAGCAGCTGTTAGCAGGGACTTTATTTGAATGCACTTTCAGAACTGCTAGAGGATGTATCCCTGCTAATATGAAAACACATGTGGTTCATGCATGATGGGGCTCCAGCACATTTTAATCACATTGTTTGCAATGCACTGGCTGACATATACCATGAAATATGGATAGGCAGGGGAGGACCAGTTCCATGACCTGCATCTTCCCCTGACCTCAATCCTTTGGATTTTTATCTTGCAAACTAATCATAGATTCTTGATTGGACTTAAATCAAGAGAGTATCTAGGCCTGTCTATAGCACTTTGATTTTCTCACTGGTAGGGCATGCCAGAGTGTTCATGTAGCATTACAATTTTCATACATGTCCTTGGAATAGCGTCTATTGCAGACAATGGCTGTAGGACATCTAATCGACAGTCAAGACAATAGTGTCTGGGCGTGATAAAAATCTGAAGCAATCAGGCAATATTTTTCAAGACTAAACAAATTTCATCATACACCCTGAAAATAGATTCATATTACTGCGCACCACTGCAAATGGCCTAATCTGAAGAAAAAAAAAATCGATTACACCCTGTCATTCCAGTGGGTCTAAAACTGACCATATGTTGAAAGAAAGGAAACAAAAGCAGTTGTTTCAATTAATTTACACAAGGGTGTGTACATATATATATATATATATATATATATATATATATATATATATATATATATGAGTTGGGATCAAATATAGATCAGAATCTGACAGAATGATAAGACACGGAATAAAAAGAAAGACTGAGATTGATAAAGCTTTAATAAAAGTCTGACATGTTTGAGTGATAAATGTTTCCTATTTGTTCTTTATCTTTTATATATATATATATATATATATATATATACACACTAATATTTCTGTAATACACATGGATTTAATAAATAAAAATAGGGCATCTATTTCCAGTATGTAGTATTCACTATAATAACTGTTTGAAATAATAAATATATATATATATATATATATATATATGTGTGTGTGTGTGTGTGTGTCTACTTCTTTTGAGTGACACCTGTTCACCTCAATGCAAAATATTTATTTATTTAAAACAAAGTCAATGAAACAAGGAAGAAAACTTTGTATACAGTCAATGACAAATTAGTATATGTATTTATGTTCTGATATACTTATATGGCTTTTTTCTATTATTTAAAAAGAAAGTAAATAGATTAAAAACAATTCTCTGCTTTATGTACAAAGGTCTTCTTTCTCACCTTCACTGACAGAAGAGTGCAAAAGGGAAATTAATTGAGATGGAAAAAGAAATAAAAAAAAAAAAAAAAAAAAAACAAATTGAAAAAAATAGAAATTTTATTGCTAGATTTTTTTTTTTTACCAAAACAAAAAAATCTTCTCATATATTCGGAATTAAGTCTATCCAAGTGATGAAGTCAGAAAAATAATTGGAAATACAATAGAGAATAAAAAAAATGTTCTGTCTGACAGAGTAGATGGCAATATTAAAAGTGTTATATTTTTCAATATTATTTTGTGATGCTGTCTCATTGGAAAAGTTTTTCAGTTCTATTTGTTATATGTGTTTACTGAAAAGTTCTCAGTCCAACCAAGAAGCCCTTCCCCACTTCACCAAAAACATAAAATATTCTAATATTTGGTCAGATTTTGAAAAGTGTTTGAACTTCAGAACTTTTCAGCACTCCCTTTTAAAATTTCTGCAGAATTATCATGAATTAAATTAACAGGATTAAAAACTCAAATATTTGATTGACATTATCCAAATTATGGCTAAAATTCAATAATGAAATTACTTTGAATAAACAAGAGTTTTATAAAGTTGCTAATAATCTACGAAAGGGTGCTGAAAAGTTCTTAAACTGGCCTACTTCTTAAAATCTGGCATACAGTCAAATCATCCTGAAAACACCGGTTCTTGTTTGATCAGCAAAGTTAAGCAATGTTGAGACTGGTCACTACCTAGATGGGGGATTGCTTGTGAATACTGGGTACTGTAAGCAGCCTCCTAGAATGTGAAATATGTTTCAGCTTTGGAAAGGGTTGATAAGTCATAATTCATTAAAAGATTTCATTTTCAATCATGAATTGGTTCTCATATCATCAAGTATCATTTGTATGTGGCAAGATATCTTTATGATATTGTTGTCCACTCAATGAACTTTCCACACTAACTTAAACAAAAGGTTAGCAAGGAAACCACCAACACAACAAAGAACAATAACATCTCAGTGGACTTGAGAAACCTATTTCCCTGAAAAATTGTATTAAAATTAAATAAATTTCAGCTAACATTGACTGTTCAGCCAATGAGTGCCATATGTTTCTTGTTCGGAAACAGCTATTCCCAACATTACCATTAAAGAATTTACTTATCATTTTCTTTAACAGATGAATTTTTATCTGATAATCTTGTTACATCTATGAGGAAACATTTTTTTTTTGTAATTTTACCAAATAGTAAAAAGTACATCACTTGAAAGCTTCCAACAGTAGCAACAATTAAAATTAATAGCACACATAAGTAGGGAAAATAATGATATAATCAAGATGCTGAACTACAACACTACCTTAAACAAAAGGTTGGGAAGGAAACTCCCATCACTTCTACAAAGACTAATAAAAGTGGATTTGAAAAATCTATTTTCCTGAAAAAACTATCTTAAGAGAAAAACTTCATAAATTTTAACTGACAGTAATGCTGTTTGGTTAATAAATTCCAAATGTTTCCTGTATGGAAATGGCTAATACCAAAATTACCATTCCTCTTTGTTGTGGCCTTATTAGGGCCAGAAATAAAGACACGGAGGGAAGAATTGAGTTAAACAAATATATTAACAGAAACAGTAATACAAACATATACAAACAAGAGTGTTACAGCAAGAATGTTCGGTCTGACTGTCAGAGCTGACTGCTGGAAACTTCTCTCTCCAAAAGGCAGTAACTGCTCCTATTAATAGTTGGGAGAGTCCATGTGTGCATGGGTAAATTACAATAACACTATCGATTTCATTGGTCAGATCTATCTATCTATCTATCTATCTATTGTGCCTTGTTAGGGCCAGAAATAAAGACACAAAGAGAGGAATTGAGTTAAACAAATATATTAATAGAAACAGTAATACAAACATATACAAACAAGAGTGTTACAGCAAGAATGTTTGGCCTAACTGTCTGAGCTGACTGCTAGAAACTTCCCTCTCCAAAAGGCAGTACCTGCTCCTATTCATAGGTGGGAGAGTCTATGTGTGCATGGGTAAATTACCATAACACTATCTATCTATCTGATTGGTCAGATCTATCTATCTATCTATCTATCTATCTATCTATCTGTTATGCCTTGTTAGGGCCAGAAATAAAGACACAAGAGAAGAATCAAGTTAAACAAATATATTAACAAAAACAGTAATACAAACATATACAAACAAAAGTATTATAGTAAGAATGTTCGGTTAAACTGTCTGAGCTGACTGCTAGAAACTTCCCTCTCCAAAAGGCAGTACCTGCTCCTATTCATAGGTGGGAGAGTCCATGTGTATGTGGATAAATTACCATAACACTCTTTTTCTATGTGCCACATTCATTCAGGATGTGGGGATCATGGCTCTCCACAATTTCCTGAAAAAATTTTGTCTTTTCACTATCTCTCCTAATCCCTGTTCTGCCAACTATTTACACAAGCTTGTTTGGTAGGTTATTTGCTGCTTTCCCCTATCCCTACTGCCTTTAATATGCCCTATGAGTGTCAAAATTTCCAAGCCTTCTTTTCTCCTTATGTACCTGAGAAATTTCAATTGTTTCTTTCTGATTCTAAGTATAAGTGTCCTTTTTGTTTCCATTTTCTCTAAAACTTTGTCATTGATCACATGTCCAGTCCATGGTATTCCCATATTTATCTTCTTTGTCTGTGAGGAGATTGTACAATATTGACTACCATATAGGATAACCAATATTACTAGAGAGTTAATTAATGTTTTCTTTGTTTCTAACTAAATTTTCTTGTTTCTTAATTCTTTGCTTGGCTTTTGGAAGGTATCTTTCACCATCCCAATGTGACTTATGATTTTGGTGTCACATTTCTCATCTGCTGTTAAAACAATTTCTAGATATTTGCATTTTTGTAACTGCTTGATTTTGGAATCCCGATTTGTAATTTGCATGTTTCTATATTTTTCTTTCTATATCTGCTATCAAACTCTGTGTCATTTGCATATCTAGCATTGTTAAGATTGTGGCTACCAATAATGAATCCTGGTAAGAATTCTAATTCTTTCAGTATCATCTCACTGTAAAGATTGAATAAATCATATCCATGGGTGACTGCTTGAGAATAGCAAGTGCTGTAAGCTTGGATGTGCTGGTGGTGTAATGGATAATGACTCAGAATTGTTAACTGGAGAGCCTAGTTTAAATTGATTGAAGTTAAGCAACACCAAGCCTGGTCAGTACCTAGGTTGGTGACCTCTTGGAAAACCAGGTTCTGTAAGCTTGGATGTGCAGGTGGTGTAATGGATAGCAAGAACTGGAGATCGGAGAGCTGAGTTTCATTTCCAATCTAGTTTGTTATATTCACTTACTATACTATTGAGAAAAGGCATGAATCCACTTCTTCTCCCCCATCTATAGGCTAATTAGTAGAACTTGTATCAATAAATCATTATTATCTTCAAAAATTTCTTACAATATAAAAATATTTTCTTGCTTTAAATAACCTGAAAAAGTTGATAAGCCATAAAAAACAAATCAATTATAGAAGACATGATGTCGTCTTATGCCTCTAAATTTATTTGATATTTTCTTTTTGATTGTGACTTAGCATATCAACTTCAGTCACTTTCTCAATGAGGTAAACTTGGCTTCTCCCTGTCTTTTCTATGAATATTTTCATGGCACAGCTCTGATGAGCTTTTTTTCCCTGCTGCTCCAACTACATGAATTCGAGTGAAAGCAACCAATACTTCTACTCTAACAGTTTCTTTTCTCACACTTACCACCTGTGGAACTCCTTTCTCTATTTTTGCTTCCCTACAATTTTCAAAAATTTAAATGCAACATCAGTCACCATCTCTTATCTTCTTGTTTCCCCATTCATCTTTTGTCCTTTCCTCAATCCTCCCTATACGGATTCTTTTCACTCCATGTAACCCTCTGTGTATTAGTGGCATTCTCACTTTGCTTGAGGTGAAATGACTAAAAAATATATATATATATATATATATATATATATATATATAAAAGGCAGGATGTGTGTGTGTGTGTGAGTGTGTAACGAATACACGGCCGCAATTTTTGATGGATTTGCACCAAAATTTACATGTGTATGCTCCAAGTTAGCAGGAAGGCCAAGACTGACTTTGCATTTCCCAACTCCCATTGATAGTGGAAATAATCGATTTTTTCATGCTTCTACGGCACTTTTCATGTAGTTTGCGGCCATTTTCTACTGGCCATTTTGAGATCCTATAGCTGGCTGCCACGAACAGGCAGGAAGATTCTATTGGCCAGTGTGAGAGCCAACAGCTGACTGACACGAATGTTAACTAGCATGGAAAAAAAATCAATAGCTGCATTTGTGACAAGTGGGAAAAATTTAAATCTGCATGGCACTTTACTTCAATTGGCTCATTTGCTTGCTTAAACTCAACGTTGATTCTGATTCTGCAGAACTGAGTTGGGTGTGAAAAAGTATTTGTTGTTAACATTCTTTTTTCACCCGGTTTTTCCAGTTACGTGTCCTTTTTTAAAGCTGATCATTTTGTGTTCATTTTGTTTAGTTCTTTTTTCGTAACAGATTTAATGTTTAGTATAGAGCTTAGGAAAAATTTGCAGTGTGAGATAGGCAAGAAGTAAGGCATGTAGCAACATCAGCATGGCAAAGGGCACTCTTTTAAAGGCAAGGAAGGACAAAAATATTTTAAGTCAAGTGATAGTGATTGCTGTATGAGTCGTACAATTTTTGAATCAAGCACGGGCCATGCCGGGCCATGTTGCTCGTATATATCTGATAACACTGCCACATCTATAAGAAGCCATTTTGTAGTTTTAAAAAATATTTTCTTTAGATCTGTTAGTATTTATATACCTGGCAGTATGAATGGTAAATTCCTAAAGAATAGTCACCATAATTGGTTCATAATGATGTTCATAGCATTTCTCATGTCATGGTACATTGTAATATTAACACTATTATTATTACATATTAATTGTTAATAAGACAATTATTATAAAGATGATTACTCCTGAACCAGCTGCTTATAGAATTAAAAAGCAGATTTATTAAAGAAATACAGGAAAAGTTTCATTCAGTGTAAGCAGGCATCCATTTAACTCACAAGATAAATTTGGTCAAAATTTTATCCTTTGATCGTGAGACTGGAGTGGCTTCTCCAGAAAACAGGTCAAAGTGATATTATATTGAGGCCATGCACTGCCAAGACTACATTCCCCCATCTTGGCCATACTGACAATATCCAAAGGAATATCGGGCATTAAATTTGTACCAAGTTGCTGGAAAATTGTCATTGTTAACAGCCAAACGCCTTCAGGGCTCCATTCCGTGTTTTCTGTCTAGATTTACTTCCTTAGCCTTTTTCATGTTCGGATTTCATCACAAGGGCATGGAGGTTTAAAATCAAGGTTTTCCCTTCCCCTAGATAGACTGCCTTCCTGGGCTGATGAAGATAATAATAATAATCTACCCAAAGCTGCTGGTTATGAGGCACCAGTTGTTCACCTTCACCTATTCTCCAGTTTGGAGCTAGACGTACCGATAAACATGTATATATTTTCATTTAGTGTAATTATTTCATATGAGGAAGGATCAAAAGCATTTTTTTTTCTACACTGAGAAGTCCTTTATATTATGGTATCTTTCAATGATCTAAGCTCTTTTTGAAAAGTTTCTTCTCCAAGTAATTGGGTTTTCTCCTAACCTGTGTTTTAAAGCATTATAATTGACAACTGATGCTCACCCACTTCTGGGTTTTCAATAAAACAGATGG